ACTCTTTCATAGGAAGAGAATTCAAAATGGATTTTAAAATAACATATACTAACATATATTACACTATTTCCTAAGTTAGAAAAAAGGGAAACAACCTAAAATAGTGCAATTAATTAAGTATAATTATAATTATTGTGTAAAAATGTCATAAATGATTATGATGCCATGTTAAAGTAAATAAATTTTGTATAGTTGTTGAGATTATCATGGATCTTTTTTCTTGTCACTGCCTTCTGAGTTTGGCACAATTTGAATAATATCTTACTTTTATAATAAAAATAAATATTTCTAAAAGAATCTTAACAGACTTAAGGGCCTACCTTAAAGAGATATTTGCAATCTTTTACATAAGAGCCACTCTCTAGGCTTTTGACATTCAGAGAGAAAGAAGAAGGGAGGGGAATAGGGGGTGGGAGAGAGGGAGGAGGGACGGGGAGGGGAAGGCAGGAGAGGGAAGGGAATGGAAGAAATAAAGTCACTAACGAAGATTTCAGTGTGGTAAGGTTGGAAAGGTAAATGTGTCTAAATATACGCCATTAAAGAGCTGATTGTGACCCCTGTGGTGAGCTTTGGAATGAATATACTATACAAGGTTATAACATGTAAGAATACTTCTACCTGGGTTCATTTCTTTGTAAAACTGACACCCTCACCCCTCAGCAATCTTATATTCAGAAAAGGTATGAGTGCTGGGGGAGGACTTGGCTCCAGTAGAGGGAATTACATGGCCCAATGTTCCAGTCTCACAGAACCCTGGAAGTAAGGAGTCCTGGTCACTGGACCATCTTAGAGAGGCAGAACCTGGGTCTGAAGGAGGTACCTTCCCAGCTAACTACCTGGGATGCTGACCCACCACCACAGGCGCCTGCTGTCCAGTATGCATAGACACCCATATGTGGGCACTGGTTTTCTCCAAGAGAGTTTTATGGAACAAGACGAGAGGTGTGCTTAAGTCTGCCTCATGGATTGGCCAATTGACTTGAAAGAGCTTTTGGGGACTGATGAGTCTGATAACGTCTTGGGTCCTGAGACTTTCGAAGTTTTTACTATTTCAGTCCCATGTGTTAATTTCACGGCCGGCACCCTCACTTTTGACTTAGGCCACGCAGCTCCAAGTCTGAATCTAAGGTTCTATGGGTCTGAGACTGAGTTCCAGGCAGCTTGGGGTCATCCTTAGGTCAGACTTTAAGATGCCTCATGGGACGTGTTCTGTGAAACCTCTTACACTGCAGTTAGAATGAGGATGTTATTTTTAAATGCTTAGCCACAAGGGAAGAGCTGAGCTCCATTCCCAGTTGAGCATCTTAGGATTAGGGCAACGTAGAACGCTCAGTAGAGTCAGAGAGCTAAAGGGCACAAAGGGCTGGTCCCTGAATGAGAAGAGGCCGCTGTGTCTGCGGGCTGGTGAACGCCAAGGTTGGGATTCTGTTCCCTGGAGCCTTGGAGACAAGTCTCTCTTTCGATGATCACCTTCTTGGGATTAGCTCCCAGTCCCTTGACAGAAGCTTCTGGATCGTGAGATGTGTATGTAAGACAGGAATCCCTTTGGGTAGGTACTTACCCAGCAGTAAATTGTGGCCTACTGCATGGAACGTGGCTTCGGCAGGAACAAACATGGTGCCGTGGTTAGGAATCCGGGAGATATGGACGTGGCCCTGGCAGCTTAATGCTTACAACGTGAGCTCTCTACCCGAATCCGTAAATTGAAGGATTTTTATGTTTGCCACTAACTTGCTGATAGATGGAGAATGGGAAGAAGCTTAGCTTAACAAATTAAAGACTGAAAAATGGTTAGACCTCCATGGGATAAAGACCAGTAAGCCCCCAACTGCTTCTCTGTCCAGACTTCTTGCTTGGGATCTGTTTGTTTCACGCTGGCATAATATTGTGATTCAATTAGGAATAGATTGACTGATTGTTAACTAAGATCGAAATCCCCAGGGTACTATTTTGGAGCATAAATTAGTAATCTACATTAACTGCTCTGTTTACTGGGAGTTGGTCACCATGCTGGGCTCCTCACAGATTAAATTCGCAAAGCTGGAAAAAGAGGATCTATATCAATATTTATTAAACAAGTGTATGAGGTAATTGTTAGTAATTCCATTTAACAAATCAAAAAACTGAGGCTCAGAGAGCTTAATTAAACTGACCATCACACACTGTACTCAATGGCCTGCTATGAACAGGAAGTGGTTTGTCAGAAGCCTGTTGCCTCTGGTCTTTCTACAGTGCCAAGTGACCAACCAGAATCAATCTGGATTCCAACTGTATCCAGCATCCTAGGGAGAGCTGAATGGATATACTGAACCAACTGCATCAGCTGGGCTCTACAAGGGGGAAAAAGCTGGGCACAGTGTGGCACACACATATAATTCCAGCCACTCAGGAGGCTGAGGCAGGAAGATCACAAATTCAAGACTTGCCTGGGCAACTTAGAAAGACCCTGTCTCAAAATAAAAGAAAAGAAATGGCAATGTAAGTCAGTAGTCAAGTGCTTGCTTGCCAGGAATGCACAAGAACTTGGGTTCAATTCCCAGTACAGAGAGGGAGAGAAAAAGAGATTGGGGGTAGGGGGAAGAAAGAGAGGGGAGAGAGAAAAGAAAGAGGGAAGGAAGAAAAAGGAAACAGTTTCAGTGAGCAAGGCATATTGCTGCTTGACCTTACAGCATATCTGCACGTTGGTTGATTCAGCGTTGGCCCACGTGTCTCATTCTTACACATTAAAAAGCAGCATCAAGAAACCAGATGCTGGGCCAGGAGAAATCTGAGATGAACTGTAAACATTGGCCATACCAAACTGCAACAAAGAGGACCCAGAGGTCAACTTGAATAAATTCCCACTAGCAAACATAACACAGTAACTGCAGTATGTGGAAACATATCACATATGCTTAAATCCATGAGTTCATGAAGATCACAACAACAAAAACTTTATTGGTCACCTTTGGTGGACGCTAGGTAATTGACACATTGAGAAAACATAAATAAAGGGAAAGCCTCAAACACCGATCTGTCTTTCCTATTTGATTTGGACCATGGAGAGTCAAGTGATTGATGAGATGAGGTCTCTATAGAAGTATTCTAGCTAGTTCAAAAAGAAAAAAACACGAGAGGCCAGGCATGGTGGCACATGCCTGTAATCCCACCACTCAGGAGACTAAGGCAAGAGGATCATGATGATTTCAAAGCCTGTCAAAACTATATAGCAAGACTCTGTCTCAAAAAACCTAAACAACTCTAATCCTAACTGTTCCCTATGACTAATCAGAGTAGCTGACAATATGATAGAGAAACAAATATGGTAAAGGGAGAGAACATGTAACCAAACTCCCACTCTAAACTCCCACTTTACAGCAATTGCTGTGGGTAGAAAAACTTGCCAGCAACACCACCAGAAGCCAACAGCAAGATCAGACCTATGCAAAACCCCCCTGGACAAAAGACTCCGTTTCCTTAACAACAAGCAAATAGCAGAAAGAACATCCCAGGAGATGTCAGAGAAATATCACGTATCCCAGTGGACCTGGGATGAAAAACAAACTGCTAAAAAATGTACAAGACAATCAGGAATCTGTGAATGTTCACTGGCTCTTTAATGACATTAAGAAATCAATTTTAATGACCAGGGCGTGATTAGCAGTGTGATTAGCTTAGCTTTTAGAGATATAGTGAAATACAGTGAGGCCATGTGTGAATTCAACCAACCACAGGTTGAAAATATTAGGAAATAAAGTTGTGTCTGGGCTGACCACGTAAAGACTTTTCTTATCATTATCCCCTAAACAATATGGTAGGGTAACTATTTACACAGCACTCACGTTGTAGTAGGTAATCTAGAGATGATTTAAACTACACCACAGGGTGGTGTGCATGGGTTCCATGCAGATATCAGGATGTTTTACCTAAGTGACTTCCACATACACAGATTCTGGGATCTCAGGGGTCCTGGGGCTGATCCAGCAGGCACCAAGAGACAACGGTATGAAGAAAAGGTGTCTGGGATTTAGTTCAAAATGACATTGAAAAGTTTATAATTACAATAAGATTACCCAGGTATTGATAATTATAATTGTAACAGGATACATAATAATGTACCAGGTTCACTACACTCCCATAGTATAGTACAAAATAATGTATACTACACACATTTGACGTGGTCAATAAGAAGGAAAATTTAAAAGACCTCAAAGACCCCTATCAAATAGACCATTTTTATTTCCAAACCTGAGAAGGGATTATGTTTGCTGATAATAGAACCTGAGTGGTCTGTGGCTTATTTACAAGTTTAATTTCTTCAACTCTAGATATGACTTATTACACACAAGCCATTTCCACAAAGGAATCTTGGAATATTCTCCTCCTTTAACTTGACATTGATTTTTAGTGACAAGAACCACGTCAAATGATGAGAATTGGTGCTACTGTCAGCAAAGAAGGTATCAGGTTGGCCAAAGCCTGGACATGGTCCTGGCGTGGGCATCTGCAATTCCTACTGTATTGGGAGAAGGCGAGACTACAAAGAAAAGGCTTAAAGCGCTCCCGTGTGGCCAGTACAGGTTAAAACAGTCAGTGCCTTTTTTATTCAGCATTTAAATGTGGCCCGGAGCCTTCGCCTTTCAGACCAAAGTCCAGTAGTAGCCAAAAATTTTTTTTAAAAAAGCATTTCCTTTTCAGATCTTATATTCTCTTAAATGTTAGTCCTAACTTCCCATAATAATAATAATTAATAAAATTAAGAAGTGCTTTCTCGGTGGAAGAGAACCACCAAAAAATTCTTCAGTAACAATACAAAATGATGGCATAGCTTAAATGTGTTTATGGTCTTATGTGTAACCTTTCCAGGCAGTAGAGTTCACAAAGATACATGCGGGCCCAAGGATACCCCAAAAATCCATTAGAGTGGGCAGGGTGGAAGGAAGGGAGATTCTGAGAAAAAAAAATTTTTTTAACCAGGGATCCAACCTGGGACCTTGCACTTGCGAGGCAGGCAGCAGCACCACCAAGCTAAATCACCGGCCCAGAAATTATTTTAAATGGAACAAGAAAACATTCTGGCCTAGACCAATCATGCCAATAAGGTGAGAAGAGTGTCCAACTCAAACCTCTGAATTTGACTCTGGAAGAAGGGGAAGAGAAAGAAGGCAAGGAGGGAGGCAAGGGTAGGGTACAGGACCCCAGAATGCTAGAGTCTTGCTTCATGCATTGGGGCTTGATCTCCCTGATCTTGCTTTTCCAGCAAAAGTTCTGCTCCTGGCCCCTGAGTCCCGCCCGACCAGCCTCCCCAGCGTGACTCAGGGTGGGTTCCTCCAGGGATGGTGGACTCACGACCTAGTCAGGACAGCGGCTACCCAGGGAGGTGGAGAGATCTCGGAAAACGCCCCTTCATCCAGAGCCTGCAGGTTGCCCTTCCGAGCAGCAGGGGGCAGCAGTGCTTCCTTGGCCAATCCAGTCACACCTGCGTCAGAAGCGTCTGCGCTGCTTGCTCCCCAACGTGAATTCTTGAGTGTGGATTCTGGGAATAAAACGTTTTTAAGCAACTCTCTACCTGACTCTGATGTACAATTTAGGTTTGGAACCAACAACAGAAACAGATTAGAGTTAAAAAGTATTTGTTTTTTAGAAAAGTTTTGGAAATATCATTTGTCAGCTAATTATGATAAGAAATGTCCAGATTAAAAAAAGAAGAAGAACAAATTTCCAGATTAAATAATACAAAAAGTTAAACTGCTCCAAGGTCTAGTAGACTACTGATACTCAATTTACAAGTGACCATTTGTTCTCTTTCCTTATCTCATTGAATATAACTTTTTTTAAATTTTAAAACACAGTCTCAGTAAGTTGCCGAAGAAACTTCTACTGCCTCAGTCTGCAGTACCTGGGACGACTTGCCATGTGACGAAACATTAATGTGACTCTGTTTAAAGAGTGTTGCCCCAGATGCCATGAGGGGTACATAATACAAACCAACGTGTCTTTTGTTAAAATCCAAATGATTGCAAAATCCAAACTACATCTAGCTGCAAAGATGTGAGATGTGGGATTGTGGGAAAGGATGTTCTGGGGAAAGGATGGAGCATAAGATGACCTACCTTCTCACTGGGCATCACCCATTCTTCAATATTCCACTGATCTGGAGCTTTTCCCACTCCTTGGGAAGGAAAGATCTAAAGCCTTCTTCCTAGACCCATGCACCTGGAGCTCTGCTGTGTTTTCGTCCTGTTTCGTCTTGTTTGCTTTTGTGGGAATGAAACCCAGAGCATCTGCGTGCTGTGAAAAGTCTTTTCCGCCGCGATACGCGCCCAGCCCCCCTAGAACTCCATTTTGAGGAGCCACCTGGTGGAACAAGTACATTAAATCCCACGTTTGGCTCACGACCTAGTCAGTGAGGTGCTCTTTGTCATCCTTTTGCTGCTGAATCTCTGAGAGGAATAACCTACTAGCGCTTTCTCAAAATATCCCCAGGGCTTATCCAATTTTCTTGACAGAAAGCTCTTTCTGAAAAGCAAAACAAAGAGCAAATCACCGCCCGCTCCTCTGGCCTTCTCAGTCACACAGCAATAATGTCACCTGGGACCGGCGTGTGGCATGCACGTAGCCAGACTGACCTCTGCAGCCAGGTCTGACTCTGAGTTCTCAGAGAAGGCAAATCCTCAGCCTCCAGTTTCTTCTCTGTGAAATGCAGGTGCATGCCCTTCTGCGATAGCACTTCTTATCCTCAGCCTCTGGGATTGACAAATGGGCCCCGATCTGAGAGCTAAACGAGCAAAACAACAAACAGGTACTTTAATGAGTTATCTACACTTTGAAAGATATGACCCCCCGCAACAGAATCAGGAGAGCCTGAGCTAAAAATGAACAGAACAGAACAGACACACTTATACTCAGAAACCAAGGAACATTAAAGGAAAGCTGCAAAAGGTTAAAAAGGCGCCAGAAATTGCTACTTGTCTCCTGTGCTTCTCGAGGGAATAGCGTGGGCTGTTATATGCATCCAGTCAATTTTGCTGTAGGCAACTTCTGAAGATGCTTGGTATTTCTGTGTCCTGGCCTTCCTGATGGTTCACATCGTACTAAGGTTCCTTCAGTGTAGGCTGGGTCTTAAATATAACAGTGCTGAAAGGTGGTGGAGCTTTTAAGGGGCAGGACCCAGTGAAAGATAATTAGGTCATGGGATTCCCTCTGTTGGAAAGGGTTAATGTCATTCTCTTAGTCGTCACCCGAATGAGTTGTTATAAAGTGAGACCACCCCATTTGCCTGGCTTCTTCTGCCTGTATCTGTTTACCTTCTCATGTCTCTGCCATGTTGTGATGCAGCCAGCACAGCCCTCACTAGAAACAGTTGCCATGATGTTTGCAATTTCCAACCATCAAGATCATACGTCAAATAAGTCACTCACTTTATCCAGCAGTGAGTATTTCATTACAGCAATGCAAAAAAGATACATGCGATTAGCAGACATGAGCATTCTGGTCAGCTTTGTAGTATTAGTCTTTTCTTTTCTTTTTTTGTACCAGGGATCGAACTCAGGTCCTTGTGTTTGTGAGGCAGGTGGCAGAACCACTGAGCTAAACCCCCAGCCCCTGTAGTACTGGTCTTTGCTAAAGACTAGCACAGAAGCATCTCTGTCAGTCACTGTTTTCTTGTGAATTTGTTTGTGGTGAGTCTGCCCCACTGCCTGGTCTGTGATGTGGAGGCCAATGAATTTATAGACTAACGAAGTTTGGGACTAGGGCAGCTGCACCTTTAGACCAAACTGTTTCCTCTGTTTGCATCAACAACCACCCAGATTTGTTTTTGTGGTTTCCCCCGGTCCTTTCCCAAGGTCTCACTGCCTCACATCTTTATTTATCCAGCCAAGAATAAAATCTGCTTGCCTCGGACTTGAAGCCCCATAAAGAAGCCAGACTATTTTTCTTTCTAATACAGGGAAACAAATCAAATCATTTAGAAAGATTCACTTAGAGCCAGCCTAAAGAAAAGGTTTCAGAGGTTACCTATGATAAGGAAAAATATATAGCTAATCCTCAGAAAAACTAAACCATGTCTAGACACACATCTCAAGGAACAAAAAGCATTGCCTGGAGAAATCTCCCATCCATGCTGACCTCTTAGTTTAAAGACACAAGTACATCTTGTTATTTCTGAAGTGTGTGTGTGTGTGTGTGTGATTAAACATCCTCTGTAACCAATGTTCCCATCAGAGGTGTATGTGGAGTGGGCTCAGGAGGGAGGACTAGTCTCTGGCTGCCTCCCACCAAGGGTTAAATGCTTGCTGTTGGGTCCATGCAGCAAAACAAAGCCCTACACAGCCAGACCTTGCAGGAATCAGATGCCACTGGCACTGCGGTCAGGAAATGTCAACAATGTCTTTCAAAGAAAAACTCCAGGGCTCTTCAGCCAAATTCCCTCGCTCACTTTTTCTGACAGCTGAACTGCTCCCCAGTACCTGTCTTCATGTCCTTTTGACTTTGGTGTGCACATGTCTAGAATAATCTCCTTATGGAGGGGGATTATCTGACACAATCAGCACAATCAGGAACTGGCTGGGTGACAGAAAGTTTGGACTGAACAGAGATCACAGGCACATTCAAAAACTTGAGGGCAGAAACCAAAATTTTGGATAGAATGATCCTTAATTTTAAAGTCTCATGGATTTCTTTCCATGCACATGACCAAGCAATCTGGATCTTAGCATCCGATTTGGTAAATTCAAAGATAATGATCTCACCCTTATCCATGTATTAATATTGCAAATCTTATGTAAAAAATATTCCTGCTTTGAGAATGGACCACAATATTTCCAAGTGCTTAATAATATTCTAAAGTGTCAAGGCAAAAAAAATCTAGTAAAAATTTTCAGAAATGTGTAGTAGTTCTAAGGGGGGTAGTGGTCATTTATTTTTAGGGAGAACAGAGTTTTTGCTCTGCTTTTTATGAAGTCTCTGTCTTAGAGATTAAGGGCATATACTCTGTGTCTTCAATTAGCATCACATAATACTGAATACCTGTTCCATTTAAATTATGCAAAAATCTTCCCTCTATTCCTACAGAAAAAATAACCAGTATTTTTCCATGTGAAGAAATCACCCTTTTGCTCCACAATTCTTAAAGACAGAGTTTAGAAACAAACATGATAATGTCCAAGTATAAGTATTTTAATTGAGGGAAGGGGAAATATCTATAGGCAATATCTATCATATCCCTGTTTTATAAAGATGATACAGCAGATATACTGAAAACAGCTAAAAAGACATATAACCATATAGCTGACAAAAAATATCTTCTGCAGATGAGACTGGAAGGGACAGTTTATGGTTTCATTTTACATATTTCTGGGAAGCTTTCATTTTTTAAAGCTTATTAAATCAGAAAAAGCACAGGATAAAGTTCCAGTTGGCTATAACTTTGAGGTGTCTACACACTGGCTTTTGGAAATAGGCTGCATGTGATAATCACTTTTCGAAGCACATACCAGATTTGCCCACACAAATCAAACCAAAGGAGGGGTGCTGCCTCCTGGCCCTTTTTACTCCAACTGCTTGTCCCTGGTAGAGGTGAGGAAGGCAGAAACTCAAGATGAGACTGGTGGGGAGGACCTCTTCCCCCTGGCCCATCTCCCCAGCCTTGATCTCCCCAAGGCTATACCTGTGGACCGGGGGCTGCACCAGGGGTGAGGCGTGGGGAAGCAGGGGGAGCCGAGCTAGGGAAGGGACTTCATGGATGAGGCCCAGTAACCTGGGAATGTTTGTTTGCAGGCAGCCCGACCTGTTGGCCTCTCTGTTCTGTCTGTCCCCACACCCAGCTTCCAGGTCTTGGGGAACAGCAGGGAGGGAAGAAAAACCCTAGGAGAAACTGGTGAAGTCCTGAGAAAGGGGGAAGGTGACGGCCACGTGGGGAAGATCAGAGGTGTGGACAGGGTGTGAAGGAGACTCTAGAGTGAGCGTGTGAGTGTGTGAGAGAGACAGAAAGAAATGGAAAGTTGGCCAGGAGGTAGCCGGCATGCTGCCGGGCTTGAGGAACCGAATCCCCCTGATTCCCTCTCTCACCATCCCTGCCTGTTGGCTGCCGCTTCTGTGAATGCAGCAGGCTTTGAGCCTGGGCCTCTGGGCCCTTGGGTTGCAAATGCTTCCGGATCTAACAAGGACCAAGAAGGGGATGGAGGTCCGAAGTGGGGGAGGGGCTGCAGGGGGCACAGCACACAGGGAGGCCCAACTGCTGTGCCACCCAGTGACCTCAGGAGGATGCTGGGGCAGAAGAAATCATTCACTAGGTGCAGGAAGAACCACCCAGGTTCCAGAAGAGGTGGGAATGGACAGTAGGTTAAGAAGTGACGTAGCGCTGCTGCCTTCTGGCCACAGTACACTGGAGATGTTTCTGCCTCATCTCACCAAGGAAAGGGGGAAAAGTAGGTAAGTAATGGCTGCCTAGAACGGCTTATGTCACAGTCATGAGGAACAAGCCACAGTGTGAATGATCAGCCACTGAAGAAACATCTGTCTCCTCCATTTAAAATAATCAACGGGTCTAGCCCAGCAGTGGAACTGAGCTCCTCCTAAATTCAAGTTTGAATTCTTTTTTATTAACTAGTTATAGGAAACCCTTTCGGGAAACTGACATGTCCAAAGTAAATGACTCCATGGTAAAGTCCTTTTTTAAATGCAACGCTCAGCCAGGCACAGTGGCTCACACTGGTAATCGCTGCTTTTTGGAAAGCTGAGGCAGGAGGACCTCAGGTTGGAGGCCAGACTGGGCAATTTAGGGAGTCTGTCTCGCTGCTGTTTTGGTACCGGGAATTGAACTCAGGACCTTGCCCTCATTAGGCAGGCACAGTACCATTGAGCTAAATCCCTGGCCCCTCTGTCTCTAAATTAGTTAATGAACTGAAGCAGTGGTTTTTACACTCTTGATTTTGGTTGCCTGACATCATGTTTTTCTCAACTATATTTGCAAATAAGTGAATGAGCACTTCTTGCCCTGTCGAGTGTACGCCACTGTTAAAGCCAGTTTCCCAAGTATTTGAGAAGAGGCTCTTTATTCCTGAAATTATGAAACCTGGGGTTTGGACCTAGAAGCCCTCTGCTTTGAGTTCCACTCGACTACTGACTTGAGCAAGCTGCCTCTCTGCACATCACCTCCCTCATCTGCAGAAACTGGAGAAGAATAGCAACTCACAGAGCTCTGCCCGGGAAAATGAGGATAGGAAAGTGTGTCTCAGAGCACCCAGCACATCTTAAACTTGGTTTGCTTCTCTTTCGGGTTACTCATTTGCTTTGCAAAAATATTTTCCCCCATCAGAAACACAAAAAATTCTAGGTGAGTATTGAGAATCATAGATAATTTTAGATTATGAGTATATGTACTCATTAGGTTAATTATCATAATGACTTAGTATGACGGATATTAGATTGTATTATAACAATACTACTTTTTGTTCTTGCAGTAGTAGGGATGGAACCCAAGGTCTCCTCACTGACCTACATTCTCAGCACTTTTTTTTATTTTTAATTTTGAGAGAGGTTCTCTCTAAATCATTTGGGTCGGATTAAAATTTGGGATCCTCCTGCCTCAGCCTCCAGAGTGGTGGAGTTACAGACATGCACCATCACACCTACCAATTCCTTTTTACTATTGACACAGAAAATCAAACCATTCTAGTCAACCATCTGCTCTCAGTCCCTGGTGCAACCATCATGTTACCAACATTGTATCTTGGACTGATGTTACCTCCCACCACACACAATTCTCAG